TCGATTACCAGCCTACGGTGTTCTCCGCAGTGTTTGGCTGCCTCTTATTCAGTTGATTGTCAATGGAAAGTTTCAAATAATTTTGTATTCCTTGGCGTTAGTGATTTGAATCCTAGTTACGGCCTTGATAGTCTACAGATCCTATATATATGGAGGACAACGACCCGATGTTACCCCAATCTCGATTACTAGCACAGGGCGTGCTCTCTAGTATTTGATAACCTTTTCACAATATTTTAATGATTAAAGAATCAATTTAGGTGTCTTTTTGTACCTCCGAGTCAGTGACATGAAATTTTGCCGCAGTGGCTGCAACAGTGGCATCGTCAGCACTATTTGAAATCTTTATAAGGCATGAGAACGTTTCCGCCGGACGATGAGAATATCGTGCTCGTCGAATTGATGCTGGGTAGCTCTCGGAGCATCGCTGACGAGCACGAACTTTACTTTTTTCGGTCTGAGGTTCCAGACATTCCAACAATCCCTGTCGGTGCCGGTGTGGGTCACCCTTTTGCAGTTTCTTTATCAAGCGCGGCTCTACAAGAGGCTCTATGGCGGTTAGCTGGATGCTGAAGGAGGAGCGTCTTTCGCCGCATCAGGCTGCCTCCCACCTGCATCTAGACTTCCCGAAGGAGAACCACAATGGAAACCTTCAAAATGCTCTCCCTCGCCCAGCTTACAGATTCTCTACCGCGGCGCAGACGAAGGCACTACAACTACTAGCAGCCTTTGCTGCAGTCTCAGTTATGGCATTCTTTGCCTATATTTGCAGTTCGTATATTAGAAGAAGAATACCCGCTCTGTCAATTAAGCGCAAACTGGCTGCCGGCGAGGACAGCGAAGAAAGTGACGATGCTGAATCGTGCGCCCCCGATGCAGGCAAAGGTCCAAGTGCATCTCGATATCCTCACCTGCAGCTTCCACCAATTTCAAATATGTTTCCTTCTGTAGGACCAGGTCATGCCGTTTCAGGTGCATCGCCGTCGTTGGATATTGCTGCAGCGGTTCCCAGCGGTGAGCCTTCGCGTGCAGCGAGCCCGCAGCTAGGCAAATATCGAAAGCGGAGACGTACTAAGAGGAAAGAAAGAGAAGAGGCCCCTGGTGATGAAGAAACGAAGCGGTCTAGGTTGGAAGAGCTGTTGGCGACTACTGAGGAGACTCTGCCGCCTCTACCTCCTCTAGATCCTGAAATCGATGCACTTATTAGTGTTGTGTTGCCTGGACTTGAAGATGCATTGACTGCAGACGCTTGGATGTTTGATGATGACGACGACTTCGAGTTCGAACTCCCCAAATTGCCAAGTGACGATGAGACAACCGCGGAGGGATCTGCGGGCCAACAGATGCTGCCACCACAAACACAAACCGGCCNAGTGACGATGAGACAACCGCGGAGGGATCTGCGGGCCAACAGATGCTGCCACCACAAACACAAACCGGCCCCATGCCCCCAGGATTATCTGGAGGTCCGTCCGGTATAGACGCAGTTGGCTCAACTGCTGCGACACCGTTCAACTTTTTCGAGTCTGTGTTATCAGAAGCCGGCCCTAGTGGTGGAGACGCCACAGTAGATGCGTGGCTAGGGAGTGAGGAAGCTGAGAATTTAGGGGAGGCGTTGGACGTGGTGGCAGGCAGCTGGAAGCCTTCTACACCACCAAGTACAAGCGAACCTAGCGGGGCAGAGCCTGCGGAAACAGGGAAAGGCGAGGGGCCGTCAGACGCTGCCACTTCAGAAGACTCGAGTGGTTCTGAAGCGATTCCTAGCTCCGAAACGCCACGAAGTGATCATTCTGAACAGGCGGTCCAGGTGGGTTTCTGGAAACTTTTAACGACTTTTACGAGATTCCCCCTACCAATCCAGTTGCAACTGCCCGTTTGTGCTTCTGTTGTGATGAAGGATATATTGCTGTGTGTTCAATGCGTGCTGTGGATCAGCGTTCAGACGAAGTATCGTCTCAGCCAACTGCAGCTGATGCTGCCACGGCTGCTACGCAGGAAACGGCAGAAGGTGCGCCGCGGCCCTCCATCCTTCGAGACTTGCTGTTATCTACACCGTCCAGTGCTGATTACCGCCCAACAATCCCAGCTGGGCCTTTGTTGGATCCAAGGACTCTACAGCTACGGGTGGGCATTTTTCTCTGAGACTAGGACTTGCCCGCATCCGCGGACAAGTCCTGGTCTTGGACACGCCACCGATAATCGCTTGGTAATGTCTTCATCAATTGCCTGTGCTGTTCGTGGTTAAGCTGGTTGCAGTTGTTCCTTTTCTGGTAGAAAACTACAGTGTGACTGGCGAACTGTGGTACGCTTTGCCCAATCGGCTTTTGTGCAGGTGGAGAAAGCAATGCAGGACATTCATACTCGGTTGCGTTGGCTCAAAGGCCTGTTTAAGCTGTTTCCTTATAAAGCCTTACGAACCCATCCATTTTACCGCCACCCTGGATTGCAACTAAGGTTCAGCAAGAGGGTTTTCAACGAATATATTGCAGACTCATTTCGCACTCGGAGCCAAGATGTACCCTTGTTGCTTGCGGATTGCTTGAACCTACTGACTTTGCCCTATCTGAGCACCGACGAGTTTGACCTTCTTTTGGGCTACACGGAACGCCTGGCTGGATATGCAGCCGGCATGATGCCAGTCAATTGCACAGGACGATCTGCTGTCGGAGTTTTTGGAAGGATTTTTATTGTTGTGGACACTCTATTCTGCTCAGCAGAAGTACTTGGACAGAGTGCAATGAAAAACGTGTGGTGGCCGAAGGTACTCCGCCATATAGAAGGTGCATGGGATGGCCAGATGCAAACAACTGGAGCCATTTCGGTGCCTGATTGGAAAGCTCGCGTTCTAAATGCACTTTTCGTTGCGTTAGACCACTACAGGGTGGGGCAAAGGCCTCCCTTGCATCTTGTGATTGGCTTGAAATTTGCTCTTTTTGTATCACCCGTCTCGACGGGGTTTCAGAACCCCAAATGGGACCCTTGGAGGAAAGCAGCAGCAGAATGGCTTGTGTCTATGAAGGAAGAATCACAGGCGAGCGGTCAGTCATCACAAGAGTCAACAGGCGGCCAGTAGTTGTGAAGAGAAGACCGTCCACCGACAGGGCACATATGTCGGTCAGGTTTTACATTCGTTGCAGCCAGAAAAGGCTAAGATGCAAACCTAAGGAGGACAGCAAGAACTCCTCGAGCATTTGTAATTCTTTTCCACTTGTCTTCGGAAATATGCGGGATCAAAG